AGCGAACTCTTCACAGCGGTGCAAACACTGTCCACAAACTGAAGCGACTCGGCTCACTGAAATCGCTCACCAGACCCCCCTTTTTCAAGCTAATATAACTACGAAAAGGCACTCCGATTTTCATTATAGAATGTAAAAATCAAAAAATTGGCTAAAAAAGGAAACAACTTTAGCGTTAGCTGCATTAAATCCCAACAGCGGACATGAAGAGTAATTGATAAATAGAGGGTTTGATAGTTACGAAGCAGAAAAGAGGGTTTGCACTCCCGGATTAAGTGACAATACGAAACTAACGTGAAAAGTTCTGAAGGAAGTTATAAAAAAGGGTTTCCTCCCCCGCCTTCTCCTCACCCTGTCCCTACACCCAACCTACCCCTTTCTCACCCACTGTCCTTGCTACATCAACCCCTTCGTACTTTGCGCTCTAAACACCAAACACCACAGGTGCCAGAGGGTGGCAGTCTCCGAGCACATGAATCACAACTTAATTCAAGGGACAAATGCCTATTCCCCCCCCCCCTCCACTTCCCAAATCCCCTCATACTTCCGCCGTCAAACTAAGTGCTCGAAACGTCAAACACCAACGACACAACGTCAAGAAAACACGTCTAACTATGACACTTCTGATATTAAGACACTGTGAAAAATATTGGTAAAAAATATCAGGAACAGTTTCCATTATGGGTGTTGTACAATTACAAATTAACATTGTTAAGTTCCAATTTCGTTGTTTCGACTTGGAATTCGTCGAAGAACGAAAATAGACTGGTAAATTTAGAATATACTTTAGATTAGATTAGATAGAGAGCATCCTAGGGGCCAAAGCCTAAGGCTTTTAATCCGGTATTTTTTGCCCCCGGCAGGGTACCCCGACACTCACGGCTGAAAGAGAATGGGTTAGCGGGGGGGGGGAGCGCCGCCCAGACCCGTGCCCTCGCCAACGGCGCAGAAGCTAGGTCCCCTTTGAATGGGGGGGTGGCGTCCCAAAGTAAGCTGCAGGGGAGAGAGAGCAATTAAGTCAACAAGCAGTGCACTGGGAAGGCTAGCAGGCAGCAAGAAGTAGAGGCGAAAGGGCGAAGCAGGTCAGTACTGCATGGCCGTGCGGACGCCGGGCCAGGAGCGGTGTCCGGGGAGGATGGACCCGAGAGGGACCTCGTCTCGGCGTT